ACACACACACACACACACACAAACTTAAAATTTACAGTTAAGTGGAAGTTGAGAATCTGTTTGGATAGTTCCTTTCTCAAGGTTTGTCCCCCAAACAGCTGATTCTCAGAAAAGGCCTATGTTCAATAAACTAATATCCGTGTTGGCTGCAACTGTACAGAGATGATTAGATGACAACTACAGTATTGTACTACCACAAGTAATACAACAATATAAACACTGGTACTATAGAAAAATATACTGATAGTTTAGTGTGATCCTGCTTGTAAATTGAAAAATAATTTCTTTATGCTGACATAGAAAACAGAAACTAGGCTCCCAGTGTAATTTGAACCATCACACACCATCCATATTACATCCCACTAGTTTGAATATCTTACTCCTGATTAAATGTATGAAACACAGAATTTGCCCATCTCTCAATGGCCAAGCATTATCGATCAAACCAAGACATGTTTTAATTGTAGAGATGCCAGCTTTCCATCTGCAGGAAACCTTGTAAGTAAGAAAACATTTAATGAACAAGACCTATGGAATTTAAGTCATGTTAAACTAACTTGGACTGCATAGTTCAGGAATTGTTAACTCACATAAAAGATCTACATGAAATACTTTAAAGCTATATGTGCAATGATTACTTATTTACTGGTTAGATTTATATTGACTCTTGCATTCCAGAACTCAAGAAGGCAAACAGAACAATCTCTTTTTCTGTTTTCCCCCTAACAATAATCTTGTGAGGTAGATTGGTTTGAGAGTGGTCCAAAAACACCAACTGAGCTTCCATGGCTGAGGGTAAACTAAAATCCACACCTCCCTGTTATTAGACCAACATCTTAATCACCACATCAAGCTGACTCTCTAGTGCAGTGGTGGTGAACCTATGGCACGCGTGCCAGAGGCGGCACTCGGAGTCCTCTCTGTGGGCACATGTGCCATCGTCCCATCCCCACCTCCCCCTGCGGCCCCCTCCTTACCAGCAGCCCCCCTGGAGGAGAGTCTCCCCCAGGCGCGGCCCACACAGAGCAGCGCAGCCAAGGACATAGCCAGGCAGCAGGGACAAGACTCCGCCCTTGCGCCCCATAGCATGCAGATGATGCTGTGAGGAGTGGGCGGAGGGCGTGGCTGCCATGGTGCTGCAGGGCTGCCTGGGCGATCTGCTGCGGTGGGCCATGGAGGTGGTGCGTGGCCCTGTGGGTGGGCGGGGCAGGGGGTGGGCGGGGGCAGGCAGGGCCGGAGGCGGAGCGGTTTTGGGGCACTCGGTCTCTGAAGGGTTCGCCATCACTGCTCTAGTGTATTATTCTAAAACCACGTATTATTCTAAAATAATTAAAATCATACTGTAGACAGAGATAAAGTTTGAAAGGGTTTTAAGTTCTGTTTTTGTGTACTTTCAAAAGCTTCATACAAAGTAGACATTTTCCCCAAAAGAACTTTATTCAGGTCTAGTTAGAAGTGCCAGGGGTTGAATCTGGGAATATTTTTCTGGGAAAAAATATATTCTAAAGCAGCTGCAGTTTTCAAACTACAGTGTACTTTTATATTCTATAATTTATAAGTTGTAGGTTCAAGGAATTCAAAATGGGGTGTTTTGATTTTTCCAGAAATATTTTGACCCACTTGTTTCAAACTCAATACACTTCCTGAATGGTCAAAACAGCACTGGAATATTTCCAATAAGATAATGGGAGCTATTTTCAACTGAAAACTATGCTTTGTGCTGAAATCAAGCCTTCCTAGATCAAAATTTTTCAAATTTAAAACATTTTAAAGATTACTACAAAGAATCACTTTTTAAAATATTAATCCTTGTACGTTTTGCACTACAAACCTCTCAAGGAAGTATACAACCTAGCTTTAGAATTTATAAAGGTCTACTTTATTAAAAAGAACAATGCTCTGAACTAAAGGCCTATCCATAATGAAATATGCTGTTTTGAATGAAGAAATCTAGTGAAAAGCTCACAATCAAAACTTAAATAGGAATTATTTATATATTTGTATCTATGCACATCCTATGCATAGAAATTTTAAATCAAATTCAGTTCAGTGAGGCTTATTTATTTATTTATACCACGCCTTTATTATTTTTTTATAAATAACTCAAGGCAGCAAACATACCTAATACTTATTCTCAAATACTATATAGGATTGCAATGTGTTTAATATTGAATATAAATCCATTCATATTCAGTTAATATAATTTTACTTAAAACATAGTTGTTAAAGACTAGTTGTTTGCTGACAAAATATGCATATACTGCAAATTAATATGAATCTATAGAATTAATACTTAATATTTATTAACATTACTTTAATATTCGTAAGTTATATTAAATGTTAACTATGCAGTTAAGAAATGAAAATAATTCCATTTTAACTTATTTGAACACAATTAGAACTTGTAAGAGTATTACCTAAAGTTGCTCTTATGATCTATACTGAGACTTTTATACATTCTTCAAGAAAAAGGGAATTACTTTTTTTTAAAAAAAAAAGATATCTCAGAACTTTTATCTAAAAGTGTACAGTTTAAGTGTACAACTTAAATTACTGTATTCAAACTATATTACACTTTTTTCATAGAGCAAGTTACTTGTTACTACATTCTAAGAGCTGAACATAAACAATTCTTCAAAACTAAAGCTCAACATCTTTACCATATGTATGTCCAACTGGACTCCAAGTAAGGTTTTTCACCAAGCAACTGTCTTGTTCAAAAATATTTGTCTACATTGGCAACTAAGTTAGAAAAGGCACTTTTATCAATGTATACATGTTATCAGAGAGCATTGCTCTAGTCTAGGAAGAATTTATTTTTTTAAAATTTCAAATGATAAGCAAGGGAGCAGCATATACAAAGCTGCAGGTTACTTGGTTAGATTCCCTAACCAAGGCCTACGGAGATACATGGGCCATCTGTGCACATATCACAGTTCAACTATACCTTGCAGGCTTTAATAAATCAACAACACAATATTCTCTTACGTTAACAAAATCATTAAAAATATCCCAGTAACTTCACAACAGAACCGACCAAACCATAGGAGCATGATTTGGAATTGGATGTAAATAAAGTTTTCTAGTTCTTCAACTTCATATTAAGTCTAAACTTCGCAATGGAATCAATTTAATATAAACACTGTCAAATATATTCCTTCAAATTAATGAGATTTATATATACACATAAGTAGAGAGTAGGACTGAAGTAGGACTCTTAACATTTGTATTGGTAGCAGTTCCTTTAGATAAGCATCTTTTGAGTTTTAACTACTCAAATCAAACAAATGAATCCTTAGTAGAACACTTAATGTAATGTTGTACATAATATTGAGAATAAATTCTACATTAAGTCCTTAGATGCTGGATACATTAATTCACAAGATAAATAATGATAAATAGATGTTATTTTGCTTATAAGTAACCACTTGGGTTTCAGAAGTGTCATAACTTAATAAAGGTAACTGTGGCAGAAAGAGGTTCAAGAATTAATGTACTCCGATTTCATATTGTTGCCATACAAAGAAATACATTTCAAGACCACTTCAAAGCAAAATTATCCAGGTAACAGATTTCATCCATTTGCTATTATTACATAGCCTCAATCCAACTTCTCAAGACCACCAACAGTAAATGCTCATAAATCTTCCTACAAAACGATGAAAATAGCAGTCGGGAGGACTTTTCCATCTCCCTGCATCCAAACATCACCCACAAAGCATAACAAGCCACCAATCTATGGCAGTTTGCGTTTCATTGTAAGCCATAAATATGCAAGGGCAAAAAAACAAAACAAACAAACAAAAAAAACCAGTCATGAAAGGCTTCGCTGCACACAACTACCGTAGGAGCAAAAAAAATAAAAATAAAAGAGAGAGAGAGAGAGAGCATATAATCTACCTCATATATTAATTCAAATGAAACAACTGCCCCAAACACCTTTCAATCTGGGCTTGCTAAAAAATAAGATAGAAATCGAGGGACTACTTTTTTTTCTCAAGCCACACACGAACTGCTCTCCTGTGCTCAAAAGTAGAAACAGAAAAGAAAACGAGAGAGGGAGGGAGAGAGAGAGAATATCAAGAAAACAAACACCCTCCCACTATCCAGATCGCTTCGCCTCGGGAGTGAAATTGTGGGGTCGGAGAAGGCATCGCTTGCCTTTGCCTCCCTTTTGCATATAGAGACCAGCTTACCTTGGCTGCACCCCACTTTTATTTCCTCTCCTGGAGCAGTGGAGAAAGAGACACACACAAAGGGTAATAAAGGGGGAGGAGGGGAGAGCAGGGGGATTGAGGGGGGGAGCTGGTGAATTGGTGGCTGCTGCTCGTGTGTGAGTGAGTGTGTGAGTGTGAGTGTGTGTGTGTGCGTGGTGAGGTGTCTTCAGCTAGGGCCAAACAGCAGCAGCAGCAGCAGCAGCAACAGTAGTAGAGGAGACGGAGCTTGTGTTGCTAAGAGGCTTTAGGTCTCTTTTCTCTCTCGTCTGACGGCCAAAAGCGGGGGAAGAAACTCTCCTCTCACTAGGTCTCTCTGGGATCCTCTAGCTAGGCTGGGGGTGGGGGAGAAACTCAATCTTCTCGGAGCTAAGTCCCCCCCACCCGCAAACCAATTCAAGGTGGAATTAGTGCTCTGTCCCTTTAACAATATAAATAAAAGGTCCCCCCAGTCTCCCCCTTCCCTCTCTTCTTCATCATCAGCTGCTGCTGCTGAGGCTCTAGCTCTCTGGCTGGGAGAAAGATGGGAGGCTGTCACTGCGCATGCGCTCCGTGGGAGCTTGCTGGGTTAAAGGAGGGGGAGGGAAAAGTTTCCTCCCACAAGGCCCCGCGCCTAAAAGCGAACCCGGAAAAAGATTCCGCAAAGATGGAAGAAAGGGGGGGCGGAAGTGGTGGGGCGGGGAAAATCGGCGCGTCAAGCGGAAGTGGGAGTGGAGGAGGGGGGGCGTGGAGGCGAGAAGGAAGAGAGAGAGAGAGCGAGCCTTGAAAAGGCCCGCAACAGAGACAGACAGAGAGACGGGTATAGGGAGGCTCGTGCGTACAGTCAGGCTGTAGAACGGTTGCGACGCGCGTGCGCACTGGCTGCCGAAATCACATGGGAGGCGCGTGCGTGGTGTTTGCTGGGAGGTTTGAGCAGTTTAGCTGAGGTAAAAAAAAACCCGGGCGAAGAGTCTTCGACGGTGAAGAGTTTCTGCGGTTGGGCCCAGAAGAGGGGGGGAAGCCAGGCGAGCTGGACGGAGCAGGGCGCGGTGAGTCCGGCACCTGCGTCACCTGAGCGGCGGATCCTCTTTTTAGTAATGGGATTTCTGAGAACGGCGGCGAAGTAGGATCACGGCTCCGGAGGGCAACTCAAGGATGCTTTTGTGGCGCCTGAGAAGAAACGAGCAGGCGGGTTTTTCCCCCCTTGCTGTTGCTGTAAATCAGTGTTTCTCAACCTTGACAATTTTAAGGCATGTGGACTTCAACTCCCAGAATTCCACAGCCAGCAATGCTGGCTGTGGAATTCTGGGAGTTGAAGTCCACATGCCTTAAAATGGTCAAGGTTGAGAAACACGGCTGTAAATTGAATCCGAGGAGTTGCTTCCTCAGGCTAGCACCACGTCCTGACGTCCTGAGGGATGCAGGTTATCTTTGAGATCCGCCGAAGGATTGCTCTCGTTTCTTGCTTTCTGAGGTTTATCCTCCCCTCGTCGTAGACCTTTGAGAAGCGACTGACTTGATGCTCGTTCTTAAATAGTTTTATTAGGTGAAAGGAACCGGACAATTTTGGGATGCCAAGTCTACTTTTGCGAACCAATTTCACTGACTGGAATGATGTATATTCTTTACCAGGCTGTGGCTGGGCTGGGCTGGTCGTTGGTTGAACTCTTCAAATCAGGGTGCTGCTAACTAACATAGTTAGTTCTGATTGGGCTTTGCTAGGGGTTTTTATATGGGGTATTTTAGAGCAGGCTTTTTATTCAATATTTATTGTGATTTTTATTATCGCCTGTTCACCGCCCTGAGTCCCGTAAGGGAGATAGGGCGGTATATAAATTTAAATAATAAATAAATAAATAACATCCAGCAATCGCTGTGTGTGTGTGTGTGTCTGCTGTTATTTTTAAGTATAAAAATAGATATAGGTTGTGACTGTTCTCCTGTGGGAGGTGAAAAAGAGCCATCTTCCATGAAATGGGTGGCTAGATAAATGGGTTTAATAAATAGTTGAGTTCCATCTCTCAGTAGGTTAACAATCGGTTTTGTACGATTGTTAACCTACATTTAACAATACTAACAAACCCACAGTATTGTATGAGAGAGAGCTTTTTGGAGTTTACATTTTTAGGAAACGTTTCTGCTCCATTTTTATTTTCGTAAGCTTTGTGAACAAAAGGCAAAAAAAAAAACCCCTACACTAGAATTGCTGAGGTACGTGGAAGTTTCTTTTCACAATTTGATAAATGAATATAGTCCCCTTGTATGATATAAAAATAGGATTGGGGAACTGCTTGTCACTACAAGTTATACAAAATTCCGTCTCTGCTACCTTTGAAAATGAACTCTATACTGCAAGTCTCAAGACGCTTGAGCATTTTTAGCAGGTCTGTAAAGATAATGCAATTACAGTAGTAAATAATTGTACAGATATTATGAAGAATTGTTAGTATAGAACAGACATGTCAAACTCGCGACGTCACGTGACATATCGGAACTTTTTCCCCCGTTGCTGGCAATGGGGTGGGCGTGGTTTCGTCGTGACGCATCCGACCCGCGGGCCGGCAGTTTGACACCCCTGGTATAGAATAAAGACTCCCATAGTAATGATGAAAACATACTGCTGTTAAGAATTTTGGCTAGTTAAGCATTTTCTGGTAGTTACATAAATTTGACTGTAAACATCCAGATGCTCTCAGCCACCTCTGAGTAGTCTTTTATGTCATCCTGTAGGTAACTGTCACGTCACCTACCACCAAGATTCGGATGCTAGCTTTCCATTGCAGTTTTGAAGTCTTGATTTGGCCTTCAGGCACTGGGCCAGTACGCTAGTTGAACCTAATATGTAAGATTGGTTAGTCCCCCAACCCAGGTTTATTTGGTGGCTTGGTCATACTGTATTTTCTACATGTATGTTAATTTCAGGGTTTTTTTTTCTTATAGCTATTTAAGTCATTGTTTTTACTTTTGTGTTACAGGTAATCCTTGATTTTTGACTTGTCCTTGCATTTTCAAAAATTACAGTCTCTCTGAGGTCGTGTGATTGCAAGTTGGGCACTTAGCAACAGCATGTATTTGTGATGGTTGCAATGTCCTGGGATCACATGATCTCCATTTGCAACTTTCCCAGCTGGTTCCCGATATGCATAGTCAATGGGGGAAGTTGCATTCACTTAACCACTATGTGGTTTCCTTAATGACTGTGACAAACGTTGTTGTAAAAGAGGTGCTATCACATGGTGACTCACTTATGTCATTGCTTAGTGATAGATGTTCCGGTCCAATTGTAGCCGGATCCTTACCGCTCTCTGAGCTTGGTTGTTTTCTTGCAGATGTTTCATTATCCAAACTAAGCAACATCAGTGCTAGTCAATTGTAGTCATAAGTCAGTGATTACCTGTGTATTGTTTTCATGCTTTTATCTATTGTTTACGTCCCAGAGTCACTCTGTTGTACAGCTTACAGAGGGCATTCATGTATATAACAGCCAAGGACCTCACAACCTTCAGGATTAGATTATGAGATTCATTTATACAGAATTCAGTACGTTAAAAAAATGCATTAATGTATCAAATAATTCATTGTATTTGAATAATTCCATTAGACAAATATATAGAGAATTGTAATTGTCATATTATAACATAAGCTTTTTGTCATATTTTTGTTAGTGCATTTTTTGTTCTTTTTTCTTTTTGACTATCACTATCATTTTTATGTTTTGCTCTTTTTTTTTTGGTTATTAAACACCAAAAAATAAAGCCTTCAGGATTAGGTTTTCAAAAGACACATGATTTTGGAAGTAACAACAAGTGCATTTTTGAAGAGAAATCACATTATTGAAGGGAGATTTGGATCTGAACATATTTTACAACTGAATTTTTAAACTGAATAAAGTAATGTGTAAGATTATTTAATGACTCACAATTGCTGTTTGTCTCGCTGCTAAATGCCATTACATGTGTGTAACAATACAGTTTTGATAAATCTATTTTTGCTATTCTAGGTTAAACAAAAAAGATTATTTTCAACATAATGAAATTAAGTTCTGTAATATATTTTATCCTTTTAGAATGTGAATTAAAATGAGCAAACGGAAGTTGAAAGAAGATAGCTTTACAAATGGAGAATGCATTTCAAAGGTTAGTAATATTCTTACTAACAATTGTAACATTCTTACAATTTCATTTTTAAATACAAGGGAAAATATAGTTCAGTGATTTGTCCTAATAGACATGTAACTATGTGTAAATGGGATTTTCTTAGCAAAGGGGACATTTTGCACAAGGGTTTTTGTTAGGAATATGAAGCTGGGTACAAAGGAGGTCTTCCCATGCCTGGATATTAGATTTGAACTCAAGAAAACATTCAGAAATTGAACTCAAATAAGGTGGAGTTAATTAGCTCTAGTGGTGTATCTCGAAGTAGACCATGATTGGGTTGGTCTTTTGTGATTCATGACTATTACTGGAAAGTAAAGAGGTAGTGATAATCAGAGTCTTGTGCCCAGCTCTGGTTGATATGCCATTTGCAACCTTACCTGCTGGAGTGATTGTACCCTCTCTGCTATTGCAAGGGATATTGCTATATAATGATCTGCTTTGAAGATCACTTGGAAATTGCACTTAATCCAGAATGGGGCAGTCTACATGTTAGAGACACAATACTCTGACCAAATTACATTAATTCTCTGTGCTTTACACTGTCTTGCCAATAATTTTTCAGATACAATTGAAAGTGCTGATTTTGTCCTGCTATGCCTTTTTGTTGCAAAACAACCTTCTTCAATTGTTTTGACATATCAAAAACTTCATTGGATCCAGCAGTCCATATGAGGGGGACTTGAGGCATGGAGATGCTTGTCATGACTGCATTCACTTAATTAAGGTTTATAATCCTTCGGCTCCTCCTTTTGGATCAACACCCCCCCCCCAAATAGCCCTTTTGACCAAGTCTTAACAATTTACAGTTAAGAAATTTTCTTTGAAGTCAGGAAAAAATAGATTGGATGCCTTCTAATGAGGTGTCATCTCTGAATCAGCTGAGATGTTTCTCTATGGTAGCCCTTGCCCTATGGAATATTTTGGCCCTGGGTTTATGAATTCTTTAATGTTTAATGTCCATTTACTGTTTGGAGCATTCTGTAGGATATGGAGTGATTTGTGGTTTAGATTTTGTGTTAGTTTCTTCCATAAATACAGTTGATTAATTATATAATTAAAAGATGTCATTTTTACAAATAATTCACATCACCTAAATCTCAGGTCATATCCTTCTAACTCCAAGAGTCTCCTATTTCTGAGGAGACCCACTCTATCATCTAAACCAAACAGCAAGCTACAAAATAACATCTCAAATCTGGTAGATCTAATTCTCCTCTTTCCTTTGCATCTTGTAACTGCTTCATTTAACTCGTTTTTTTTTTCTCCTGCCACATAAATTTAGATATATACTGTTTAAATGGTGCATCAGTTGTCATCAAAACAAGTATTGTCTCTAAGAAAAACATTCATTCATCTTAATCACAGACTTTCTTCCCAGCAGTGACAATTGTAGTTTCTCACATCTTAGCATGTCTTTTTAAATTTCATTTCACGTCTTAACATAATTATTTTGAAATAACATATAATTCATATTTGCCAGAGTAACAATATTTTTCTTCTCAATTTTAAAACCCATTTTATTCATTAGTTCTGTTTGATCTTCTCTTTTCATGTTTTTGTTAACATTTTTGTCTTCTGTTTGTTGATGTTGAAAACCTGCTAATGCATTAAATTATTTTAGTATTCACATTAATGTTCCAATTCACTTTAAAAGATCTTCCAAAACCAACACCAAACAATCTACAAAGGCCTTAATTTAGAAGTCTTTTTCTTAATCTTTATTCCACAATCCTCTCATCTTGTCTTATATCTTTATTCAGTATTTCAAGAATCCTAGTAAATAAGAGAGGAGATGGTGAACATCTCTGTCTTGTTCCTTTTTGTATCTTACAAAGCGTTGTTAAATCTCCATTAACAATTATTTGAGCTTTTTGTGAAATGTAAATCAGTGTTACCCATTTTATAAAATTATTTTTAAAGTTCATATCTTCAAAAACATTAAACAAGAAAGTCCTTTATCCTCTAAGAATGCATCTAAGAAAATCAATGTGGCTTGTTTTTTATTATTTAGCACCAAATATTCTAAAATGTTGAACACATTTCTAAGATTATCCTTTAATATCCATGAATATTTTTTGCAAAATTATATTTAGCTTTTTAATGAAAGCACTATGAAGCTTTAGAAAATAATGACAAGGCCAATTATATTTCAACTCTTTTCAAATTGTCTAATATTCAGAATGATCAGTACTTTTTTTTATCTTATATAGACCTGGAGATGTATACATTTCTTTCTTTACAAATATTACTTTATAGGTATTAATAAATTATATTATTTTCTGAACATGCTTTTTAATAATGTATGAACATCTTTGCAAGCCTCATAAAGTATGAAGAAAATTGTCTACTGGTTTTGTATGTTTTTAATAATATGTCTAAATATTTTTATAGGTACAAAAAATATTACGTGAAAGATTCTGTCACCTGAATCCAAATGAAAAGTTATTTGGACTTGAGCATCAATATAAGTAAGCAAAAAGATCTTTTTCTTTCTTTTTGAGAGTTTCATAATGAATCTCCTGGGATTTGAACCTCATAGCCCTTAGAGATCTGACCTTCTCAAAATTAGATTGGATTTAGTGCTGCAAATGTACTGCTGTGTAGAGAAGAGGGATGTGATTTGCCTATTTTGTCTTTTCCTGTGACTGACTGTTTACAGTGGAGGATATACTGCTGGGGGTGAAGGAGAATAAAATAAGCAAAAATGTTCTTCTGCTCACTAAAATATCAGTTACTAGAATGGAAGGACTCTTGTAGATTTAATTGATTTTTGCAACCAGAAATATCCCCCCCACTTCTGATAAGGTGCCCTGAATCTAATTATATTGCCTTGTACATTCCCATAGACTTACTTAAAAGATAAAACATAAAAAAGTGGTGGCACTTGGTCAAGACATCAGATGAAAATGTTACTTTTCTTGAATTATCACAGCAGTTACCATTGTGCTGCCTGGTTCTAATAGAACACTTGTTAGAATGGAAAGGAACACATTCCTGGAGGTTCAAGATTTAAATCTGAACCATCAATCAAACTAAATCTGTGAATCTAGGTAAGAGATGGTCAGAATCTGGGAAAATCAAACATTCAGCAACCAGTGAGGAGCAAGAAGATTTTTCTCCCAGGTGGAATTTTTTATAAAAGGTGAGGGCCAGCTCTATTTTCCTTTGCCTTTCTTGTATTTTGGTGTCATTGATTGGTGCAGTATGGTTGGAATGGCGTGTTGGAAGACCCCCACACGGAAAACAGAGATCCCACTTTAGTACATCCCATCCCAAGTGCTCTGATTATACCATATAAATTAATACCGTTTGTTTGATTAGTATTTAGCCTTTCTATTAGAGAGTTATTTAAGAAGCTTAGTTTGCTGGCTTAAGTATTAGGAGTAATAAGATGAAATGACATCAAGGAGTCTGTAAAGTTGAGTTCGCAAAATGATTTGATGCTCCTGGCCTCTGGTCTCCCAATCATCCACTGATTCCTAAAAAACCTAGTGGCAGTACTAGGTCATTAACAAACCTGGTCAAGGCCAGAGCTTTCATGACCAACATCAGTCTACTTACTGTCAGCACAGTTGTAGCTGCATATATGGACATCTGTTGCTCAATTTCTGAAACCTAGTTGCTACATTCAAATAATTTTGCTGTTAGCCAAGTAATTGTCCCGTCTTGGAGGACAGCTCCTTGGCGGTTTTTTTCTCTGAATGCTGCACTGAATGACACACACCCAGTAGCAACACGATCCTTAGTCTTTTAAGTGCTGCTAGCTTGGTTATAGATGAAGCTTTCTTTAGCAGACCTGGAACAAGTATTGCATTATTTATAAGCTTACTCAGTGAATAGCTACCACTTTGTTATTAACTCTTTTGTCAGATGCAGCTAAGGATATTCTCTATCTACAATCCGAAAAAAAACCCTCCATTTTCTACTCTGGATAAAGGGTACATAGACATTCCCCTTCCCATTAAAGATGAGGGTTTTTTCATTCTTCATTCAGTTACTCGTACCGTATCAATCATATAGCGAATATGAGTTATTATCTTTCCATATGATTGGAAGACCTGTTGATGATTTAGTAGTTTTATTGGGAATTTTCATGTATTTCTTTGCTGAAATTTGGTTCTTTGGGTATTTGAATGTTTTAAAAATGGTTGAATGATAATTAATTTTTCCTTCAGATGAAATTGGTATCTGAAAAGTTTCCTAGATATGCCCTTGTCTGAAACTGAAATGTGTATCTTTTCCCACAGACAGTTACTTGAGCTGATAAAACATACTGCCATTAATGGTGAAAGCAATTCTGTACTTATTATTGGACCACGAGGGTCTGGAAAGACTCTGGTAATACTTTTTAAATGTGCTTATATTTTGTATAATAGATAATTGTCATTTTGTCATTTAGAGCATTTATACCTGTTAAGCCTTAGCTTTCCCCTTTTAATTATACACTTAATGAGGTAACTACTGATGGAATACAGATAATCCTTAACTTATGACCACAATTGAGCCCAGAATTTCTGTTGCTAAGCGAAACAGTTGTTAAGTGGGTTTTGCCCATTTTATGATCTGTCTTGCCACCATGGTTAAGTGATTCACTTGTTAAGTTAGTTACACGGTTATTAAGGGAATCTGTCTTCTCCATTGATTTTGCTTGTCAGAAGGTTGCAAAAGGTGATCACATGATCCTTGGACACTGCAACCATCATAAATACATGCCAATTGTCAAGTGTCTGAATTTTGATCACGTGATTACGTGGATGCTGCAACAGTCATGTGAAAAATAGTCAAAAGTCAGTTTGTTCAGTGTCGTAACTTTGAACAGCCACTAAATAAAGGTTCTAAGTCAAGGAATATCTGCAGTGTTCATTTGCAGAATGGAGTCTTTCTTTAGATTTTACCTCCCCCCCATTCACCCCAAGACTCCTCCAAATTTGCTACAGTGAGACATATGGGGTGAAGGTCTGAGCAGAAGGTAGTTTGTGAAATATTCGATAAAATTCTTTAAAACTGATAATATCAGTTGTTTTAGTTTATTGTTACATGTTCACATTTCACTTTTAAGTTTATATGCAATTTCATGCAAGATCTTTACAAAACTTTTAAAATAGGATAATAACGGATATGACCAAAGCTGTTTTTTCCTCATGGAGCAAATGAGTGGTGGTGAAAGAACCCTGTAGTGTAACCTATAAGGCAACTAGAGTTTCTAACTCCTGTAATAGATAAAGAAATTAAACAAATAGCACACAAAAGAGTGTGTTGTGCCATGTCTTTTTAAACAGATAGTTTTTCTTTCACTGTCACAAAATGGCTCTCAAACCCTCATCAGTGTACATAAATAGCATTGATATGAGTATGACATCCTCTCTTCCAGTGGGTATTACTATAACAAGTATTGTGATTTCCTCTGATTTCTTCATGTATCCGTTTTCTGTCGAACAATCAATATTTCAGGAGTATATGGTAGATATACTTTAGAATATACTTTTATTGAGAACCCGGAGTATGTTTCACTCTATATATGTAGAGGTATTAAAAAGGTATTTGGATTGCATGCAAGTTTCTTCAAAGGGAAGGAAAGGGGATATTTTTCCAGGTTCCCCTTGCATATCTCTATCCAGCTTTCCAATTCTGTTTTCCAACCATCTGAAGCAAACTTCAAGTTGCAGAAGTTCACTGGGAAGGGAATAAAAAAAATATTCAATTTACAGCCCCCAAATTTCTGTTCTTCAGAGCAATGTGTGTAATGATTGTGTCCCTTTTTCTTGCTATAGGCACCTATGATGAATTTCAGACTTTCATAAAACTAAAGGAGCCTCCTGTTTGTGAAAGAATCAGGAATCCAACCAAAGAGCAATAATAATAATTTATATTACTAAATAGTGCCAAAAAGCTTAATTATTTCTGAATACTGACAGAGTATAATGTATAAGTATCTATATATAAGTTCCCTTTTACCATAAATGACTAATTATTTAATCTTTTTTCTAGTTAGTTTGTCATGTCTTAAAAAAACTTTTGGATATAGAGGAAGTAAAAGAGAATGTCTTGCAGGTACATTTAAATGGTAAGTAATATTTCTGATTATCAAACTTAGTTTTCTTGAAGATCTAATTGTGTCTAAATTTAGACAATGTATTAAGTAATAGGAAACAAAAACTGTTCCTGCCATCTATTGTAGGGATGGAATAATACATAGCGCTTTCTAACTGCCATTTCAGTGTAGGGTAGCTTTTTGAAAATTATGATTAGTTTACTGAACAAGTTATTTTAGAGGCAACAATGTCTAAATCAAGACTTAGTAGCTTTCTAAATGTTGCTGAAATATAATTCCCAGTAGCTCTAACTAATAGGGTCAATAATGAGGGATGCTAGAATGGATATTAGGGAATTGCTTTATCCTCAAGTGGAATTACTTCATGTGCTTTCTGTTAAACTGGATCTAAAAACATCAAAGAAATACACAAACCCAATTTATGTCAGTGCAGTTCTGAACTTTACTTTCCTGTTGCATATATCTTGTTTTTTCTCTGTGTGAAGATAATGTGTATCAGCTGATAAGTGAAATCAAGAGAAAATAATATATTTCTTTTTAACTTATAGGGTTATTACAGACCAATGGTAGAATTGCTTTGAAGGAGATTACAAGACAGCTAAATTTGGAGAACGTGGTTGGAGATAAAGTTTTTGTAAGAAAAATAAGTTACATTTAGAATTGCATAGTAGCCTTATATGGCATATTAGAATATGTACTAGGGTTAGTATTAAAATAATTACCATTTTGAGATTGCTCGTGTAATACGTTAGCTATTGATTCTCCTTCTGGGTAAGGGGAGAAAATAAATAGAAATAAGAGTCTTTCTTACTTGAAATAACATGGAATTAAATAATGACTATTGAGATAAAAAAAAGCGCATTAAGCAATACTTGTAGGATATGAAGGACAGATTTTCTAGATGTTCTAAATAAGTTTATTTTTATCTTCTAAAAAAATCTAACATTTAATGTAATTTGTTCAAAGTTTTAGGGAAACAGATTTCTAGATAGCAGGTACAATATTGCAATTTTTCATATTTCAGATTTTAATATACAAATTAATCATTATAACTTGCTTATCTTTTAGGGTAGTTTTGCAGAAAATCTTGCATTTCTTCTGGAAGCGTTAAAGAGAGGTAAGCAAATGGTGGGACGGAGAGGATAGGGCTGGCGGTAGTGGCGCTCCCACTCCCATAGGCCCTCGCGCTCTCCGCCTCCTGTACATGAAATAATAAGCACTACCCTGAAAATAAGACCTAGTGCCTTTTTGGGAGGCCCCCAAAAAATAAGACCGGGTCTTATTTTCGGGAAAACATGGTAGTTGGGACCAGCAACCCAGTCATTATGCAAAGTTATCACTAAGTTGAACTGTGACTCTGCTTGTGATCTCTAGCTTTCTCTTGCTTTACAAGCTACAAAAGTCATAAATGCGAGGATTGGTTGTAAAATTACTTTTTTATCACCATTGCAATTGTGAATGGTCAATAAATTAGGCAATCATTAAAGAAGGACTATCTGTAGTGTGTTCCTTCTCTGGATCCTATACCAGAAAATATTGTTCTATCTTTAATATACCGTTTCTAGAGGAAATAGGTTGTTTGGACCTTTTCTACTCAGAGTTTAGACCTGGTTATGCAGTGATAAGTGATTATGTTGGAACGTGATAGGAGGAATATGCCCCTTCTGGTCCTATTAGTTCTCTCATTAGCCTTTAACACCAATGACCATGTTGTTCTTCTGGACCGCTTTCTGGGATAGGGTGCTTCAGTAGTTTAGTTTCTTTCTCTGTGGTGCTTCCAGTTACTTCCAATCACCAGTAACAGCTATTAGTTACTTAGTAGAGGAGGAGAGATCACTCTAGTGGGGTAAATAGGAGGGAGGGAGAGTATTAGGTGTGTTAACTATCTTGAGTTATTTATAAAAATAATAAAGACAAGATAAAAATGTAATAAATGTGCTTTGGTTTGAAAATAATTTTGAATAATAGTTGTTATATTTATTGTCATTATATTAATATAGGATGATTTTTTTTCTTGTAACAGCTCAGAAGTCCATGATTATAGTTGTCCGAAAGTCCAGTAAAACAGAAAATAAATAAATATGTATTTATTCGCCACCTTTTAAACAGAAACAAAAGCAGCATGATCTGTCCTATTGGGTATACAGTAAAATGGAACTTTACACTGGCTCAACAATATTTCATGTATTTTATCATTTTAGATTAATGATGAATTTATGAAACCTATTGTTCACTTTCTTATTTTTTTGCCAAAACTATTTAGAAAAAAATAACTAAATAATGGCGAGATACAATAGTGGTCATTATGCTGAAAAGTGTGAAGAATATTTGACTGATTAGTTGAGTTCAGACCTATCTGCCCTTTGAATTGTATGAGCAAACTTTATTAGTTATTTTTTTTTTCTTAGTGCTTGTTCTGCCTGGTTGCAGAATGCCTTGTTTTTTGCTTTGCGCTTGCCTCATTCTTACAGTGGAGTTATCAGGGCATGATGCCACAAAAGGTTTTGTTTATCAACCAGCTTGTCACAGAACCCGATGCTTTATTCAACAATAAAGGAAGAAAATGTTGATTAATTACATAGAGCGTACAAGTACTACTTAAAGTTATTTATATAGTAAATAATCAACATCTCAGTCACTTATACAGAGGTTTTCTTAACATCCAGATTCTAGAGTAAGCTAAAATGCAGATGAATGTAATAACATTTAAGGTGGTTTCCTGAAAGTTCTAATACGTACTAATTTGATTTTATGTTTTAGGAGATCGTGACCACAGTTGCCCTATTTTGTTCATTCTAGATGAGTTTGATTTGTTTGTCCATCATAAGAATCAAACGTTACTCTATAACCTTTTGGATATATCACAATCTGCCCAGACACCTATAGCTGTTATTGGTCTGACTTGTAGGCTGGTAAGACGATACAGTTTTTTTCCCTGTAAGTCATTGGGAGTCTGCAAGTTCAAATACTAACTACCAAAACTATTTCTGTTTTTGATTACAGGTAGTCTTTGACTTACGACGGGTTTCTTAGCAACTGTTCAAAGTGACAATGGATTCCCCCCCCCCCAAAAAAAAAACCTCCCTAATTTTGAGTTATGGGACTGTATTTATTTGAAAGCTTAGTATTGGCCGCATTTATGGCTGTTTACAGGGCCCTTATGGTCACATGACTGCAGACAACAGGTTTGCTTAATGACTGCCGCCAAAAAAGGTCATAAAATTGGGTTGGCATATGATATCGTGCTTTATGACTAACATGAATTACGATGGTATTTGCCAGGATCAATTACAGTCGTAAGTCAAGGACTACTTGTAAATGCAAGTAAAGATGCTTTCAGGAGTTGTGAATTGGTTTTAGTTATTAAGTGTAGGAATCTGTTTTACCCATAACAGTGCATGAATATAATAGCCAAAAGTACTTCACTTGCTACTGGCTTAAAATTTCTTCCTGATGAATTTTGAAAACTGTCTGCAAAAGAAAGTTCACACAGGTAGTTCTTAGTTGTTTTATTTGCTACACCATGGAGCCTTTGGTGCTCTCTGAGCCTGATTGTTTTCTTGCAGATATTTCGTTGCCCAACTAGGTAACATCTTCAGTGACAGAAGGGAATGGGGTTTCTGCTACATACAATGTTACCTCGTTGTGTAAAGAAACATCTGCAAGAAAAGAACCAAGCTCAGAGAACACCAAGGATTCCACAGTTCAACCTTGAGCTACAAATCTTATCTTCTGTTGGTACTTGCCAACCCACTCAGTGGCTTGGAAGAGTGACACACAAAGTGAAACCAATTACCAAAAGCGAAATCATTCAAACAATATGAATTGAAAAACCCCATATTATTCTGAGCATGGGACTTCATCCCTTCTGTTCTTGTTTGTGAGCTGTTTCAAAACATCCGTTTATCATCTCTGGGGCATGGAATGCTAGGCTAGATAGGCAGTTGTGGCTTGATTTAAATAGTTCTTCTAGTTTACAACATATGAGTGTTTAATTTATTTTAAACTTGAGCATTTAAAACTATCATTGCAAACTCTTAAAATTTTATGGTATCTCTAGCTGAATTTATAGATGAACTAGAAGTTTGATTCGTAAAGATCTGAGGTTTATTCAGAGCTACTTTTGAAATTTATGAGCACTGCAGAATAATAGCACTAGATCTTTATCATTAAATATCTGATATAGGTGGACTAAATGCTAATTGCAAACTGTATTTGTAATCTTTTATTAGGATATTCTAGAACTCATGGAGAAAAGAGTGAAGTCAAGATTTTCCCACCGGCAAATATACTTAATGAATTCCTTTGATTTTAAAACATATTTGAATATTTGTAAAGAACAATTATCCCTTCCTCCAGAATTTCCAGAAAAGTCCTTTATCCAGAAGTGGAATAAACACATACAGGTAATTTAAATAAAGGTATAACAAGCAGTTGAATCGCTTTCTGAAGGTTCTCCAGATAAACTCGGAACAGAAATAATAACATTGACAGTTTACATTCTTGTTTCCAAGAATACGTTTTTTGTTTGTGTGCTTTAATGAGTACATTGCTTTTATATATGATTGGAGAATTGGCACAGCAAACCTGGATCCAAGAACAGTTCCCTTGGGAGGCATTTGTGCCATTTTGTCCATTTTTTTGGAATTCTATAGATTTCCAAGGACCAAAAGAAGCAGCAAAGAAGGAGGATGGATTTGCCCATTGCTTTTGCTCTTCAGCTTCCTACAGCTATACAGTTTATTTACTTCCCACCTTTATTATTTCATAAGTAACTCAAAGTGGCAAACGTGCACAATACTCCCTCCTCATCCTCTTTTCCCCACAACAGCAACCCTGTGAGGTGGTTGAGAGAGACTGACTACTAGGCCAAAGTCATCCAGAGGGCTTTCATGCCTAACCAGACTATACGGAGATGCTTTGCACTTCATTGTTTTGTGAAGCAGCTGTGCATCCACATATAATGTGTCAGTGGTATAAAGCAGCCCCCTGAGCCCAGAAAAAGATACAGCTGCTTTATTAATTTGATGGGAGATGTTTGTTCCTGCCAGTTTAAAATATCTCTTTCAAAAGATGTGCGCAGTCCTATAAGTTTAACTATAGCCACCGTGAACATGCTAATCATGAATGTTTCACTACTGTCTACCTCTTCAGCTAAACTTCTGAGAGCTTCTGCGCTATGTGGAGTTGAAGCAATTGAATGAGTCATCCAGGCAATGAGTCATTATAAGCTTATTCCGCTCCCTTTCAATCTGGTTCATAACATTCTCTAAACAAGATACATTTTAAGTGAGATGTTTATCTACAGACCCAGATACTGCTTAAAAGTTTTGAGTTTTGAAATAGGACACCAAATGCCAAGTCTTAGAATAGTTAGTATATACCCTGAGAGGCCACTTTTAAAACACAGCTAACAGGATGGATTACATTCTACGTAATTTATTTAGCAATTGTTAAATGGTTAAACAATTGCCTTAAAATTTAATTTCCCGCTACTAACTCCCTCATGTATTCCTGAAACTATTAAAACATAATTTATATGATTTCATTCTTACGCGCCTTAGTTATACAGTGAAATAGCAGTTTTGCAGACATTAATACAACAGACTCAGCATGTCGGGAAACATATCTTTGTTTTAAATTATATATATATTGTGGCAATCCCATATCTTCATATTGTTCATGAGTTTCACTTTTTTATATTAAAGTGTGCCTTTTTTCCAATATAGAATAGAACCTATTATGTGCCTAATTGCCATTCTATTTTGGTTACATAAGTATGGATTTATAGGAGAATTGAGCAGTGTTGATATCTTTTCTCCTGCTTTGATTCAGCCACACCTTTTCCCAAACAAAGCAATATATTTTATAAGTGAAAATAAGGAGTAATAATGATAACTCTAATTGGAGAAGTCTGTCGTCAAAATAGCTTCTTACTACTTATGAGATAAACGTTCATAATTGAGCCTTTAATTCAAGTTTTTTTGACTGAAATAATTACAACAGAGAAGGCTACAACTTTACCGTATATGTTTTTGAGGAATATTCCAGGGGCCATAGGGGTTTTCAAAAGAAGGAAACATCTTGTAAGCATCATTGGTGAATTTTCAGAAGGAGCTATAGCAAAGCAGAACACCCAAAGCAGGCATGCTGAAAGATACTATGGATTCACAACCTTGCTCTGTTCCTGGAACATCAGTTTATTTGTAAAGTTTATGGAATGTGGACCAAGCAATGGGACTGACTTAGTGGAGGAGGGTGTGGTTTGTTTGTTTTTTGTTTTTTTCAATTTTGGATTACCCTATTCCAGAGGTGGCAGGTGGCACCATAGAGCAGTGTTTCTCAACCTTGACAATTTTAAGGCATGTGGACTTCAACTCCCAGAATTCCACAGCCAGCAATGCTGGCTGTGGAATTCTGGGAGTTGAAGTCCACATGCCTTAAAATTGTCAAGGTTGAGAAACACTGCCATAGAGCAAGGTCCAGCAAGTCAGTTTCATAACCAATTTCATTCAGGAGTTTTAATGCAAGAATTAGGAACACTGTTCAGAATCTTGGAAACTGGTCCTGGACATTTTAGCTTTTTGTTAGTGAGTCATTAAGGCAGTATCATTAAACGTTTTGCATCTTTCTACCTGGGCTTTCTGCATAAGCCTAAGCTGTCACAAACCACTGTTGTTTGTTCGTTGTTTATGTCTGGAATGTATCCTGTTTCTTTTTTGGCCTTCTCACAGTGCTCTTAAAAATAAAACCGTCGTATTTAAATGTGCATTTGGCCCTGTCAGGATTGCTGAGTGAATAAATATGGGAAATAAATGAACAATGTTCCATTCTCATGGTGACCATTAAGACATTTGTAAAACAAACAAACCCCTTTACAGCTAAATAAAAAGTAAAGCAGCGTTATTGTTATAGGGCAGGGTATTATAAAAAGTGGTTCCGCCTAAATTTCTCCCTGTGGAAAATAACTTGCTCATTCAGTGGCCTTAATCTGAAATGCAGCTGCCTTTTAATAATTTATAACTGATAGAGCTAAAAAGGTTTATGAAATTGGTTCAGATTTTCTAAAATTGATTACAGAAAGTCCTCACTTAACAGTGGTAACTGAGACCAGAGTTTTTGTTGCTAAGTGATACAGTTGTGAATCATGTACACATGTGACTGCCACTTATTTCTGCAGAAATTCTGGTACTTCTGGTTGCTGCTGTTGAGTAAATCACTACAGGTTGCTACTGCATGGTCGCCATTTGCAATCTCCTGATGGCTTCCCCATTGATTTTGTAGGAAGCCAACAAAGGTCACAAATGGTGATCATGTGACCTTGGGGATGTTGTAGCGGATGTAAATACAAGAACCAGTTGTAACTATCTCTCATTCAGCACCATTGTAAATTCAAATGGATGCAGAATGAGTGATCATTAAGCAAGGACTACTGTATACCATTCTCTTTAGTAATGCATATCTGTGTTACTGATAAATATGTATTCTTAGATGTTTTGATACACAATCTTATGTGTTTTGATGTAAATTAAACAACTCCTAATCATTACTCTTTGTATAAAGATATAGTAGAGTGTTGTTTGAACAATTATTTTAAAATTAATTTTAGTCTCTTCTAGAAGACATAAAAGTTCAAGATATTCTACAAAATCAATTTTATTATAGTAAAGACCTGCGGTGTCTGTTCATGTTGCTGGTAAGCTATTAGTATTTTAATTTCTTATTTCTAATCAAGAAATAAACTAGCAATTCTGATAATGGAAAAAGTATTATTGCTAAAAAAAATCTGATTTTTATGCTAAAGCTTATAACCAATACATGATAAATAAGGGTGAAGGTTCATTCTCTGAGTTTGTGGGTTGGTTTCCAAACGTTTTGTTGCCAGGCTAGGTAACATCTTCAATGGAGTTTAGGGGATGTCCGTGTCAGTGTTCTTCTGTTTATAAGGGCTTCGGGTGTGGGTGTGTCAAATGAAGGTCTTGTGATGGGTCAGGTGTGAGTCATCAGTGAGAGGCTTATGATGGGGAGGTTACATCAGGTCAGGGTCATTGGGAGGTGAAGTGCTGGTGGGGAGGGGCTTGCGGGGGTTTGTTGAGGGTCGGTGCTCTCTGGTTGACTACGGTCGCCACTATTGCAAACATGATATATATTTTTCTTTAAAATTCTCATAATCTTTAGCAGTTAAAACAACCTAGAAGTAATTTTCAGGGAAGAAAAAAATAATTTAAATTAATGCAATGGAAAGTTAAGAAGAATGGAATGTATTCCAATTAAGCCCCTGTGTGAGTCGGAGCATAAAGTTTTTGTGATGAATCTATTGCAAGCATAAAATTGTGGATTTTTAAAAAAATGTCGTTATTCCTGAAATTCAGTTAGGACTTGCAATTTGGCTGCAGAATTGAAAAAACTGATTTAACAGGCTCTGAACAAAGAGGCACCGCTCAGAAGATTTTATTGGAAATAAATTTTATTTTACGGGTGATTTTATTAGATTTTATTGCTCATTTATAATACGATATGGTAGTCCACGTTGAGTGCTATTTACCACCCAACCTCTATAAAGAGATGGTGTGATGGGATCATGCTGCCATCCTCAATTCCATCCAAAAATGACAAGTCCAAATAAGCCTGAGAAAAACATCTAAATCTGCACCACAAGATTTTTACATGACACGAGTCGGCTTTATGCCAAGCAGATACTTACTGTTGATCCCTGATCAGGTCATATAAGCTAGTCAGCTTGAATTTTCCTACTTGGAGAGTATTCCCCTCTCCTGATTTCTCCTATTTCGGGCAAGTCCAAAATACAGTATTTATTCCAAGCTACAAAGAATTAGTGCACCTCTTTCCTGCAGTAATATTCTGATTATTATTACATTTTGTGAGAAATTGCAGATTTTATTTTGGAATGAAAAATATTTTCTATTTGCAGATGCTTGCTTCAAATAATATAACTGCCTCCCACCCTTACATTCGCGTCTCTCACTTCCTGGAAGTCAGTAAACTCTGCAGAATGGACACAAAAGCAAATATTGTGCATGGTAAGATAATCTTTGAAAAAAAATAAATGTATAACTTTTCAGTGCAGGTAGTCCTCGACTTACAACAGTTCGTTTAGGGACCGTTCAAAGATACAAAGGCACTGAAAAATGTGATTTATGATTGTTTTTCACAGTTATGTCCTTTGCAGCATCCCCAAGATCAAGTGATCAAAATTCAGATGCTTGGCAACTGGTTCGTATTTATGACCGTTGCCAAGTATCTGTGTCCCAGGGTCATGTGATCACCTTTTTTTTGCGACCTTCTGACAAGTAAGTCAATGGGGAAGCCATATTCACTTAACAACTCAGTTACTAAATTATCAACTGCAGTGATTCACTTAACTGTTTGCGAGAAAGGTCATAAAATGGAGCAAAACTCATTTAACAAATATCTCATTTAACAACGGAAATTTTAAGCTCAGTTGTGATTGTACGTCAAAGGAATACCTGTAAAACATTAAAGGAGGAAGTGATTATTACATAATTTATATGCAAGCATAAAATTATGTGGGTAGAAACATCCACCATAGAAGCATGTTTTCTCCATTGTTTTTGAAGTTTGATGAGTAGGCTGACTAAACCAGGATTTTTCTCCATATAAGAACTGTTAAGATAACTCTCTCTCCCCCCCACCCCCCACACACAGAGAGACACACAGGCATAGATAGCTATGTACATATATTTTTTATTAAAGAATTGTTAAGAGAATACAAGCAATGCAAAAGTTGAAAGAGAAAAAAGTAACAGAGAAAAAAATACAAAGAAAAAAATAGAGAAGGGAAAGAAAGGAAACATTATAAAGGTTATTATTTTTTCTGCAATCAGACAAGTCAATTTTACCATCTGTGCTAATTCTGTCATCTTCACTAACCATTCTCCATTGTGGGTATTTCAGAGTCTTTCCATTTTTGAGCATATAAAAATTTCATAGCAGTTACCATATATAAAAATATTCCATTTTCTAATTGTCTATCCATTATTTCAAGCAAGAAAAGTTCTGGTTTCAACTGAATATTAACCTTTAAAAATCTTTCTATTACTGTATTTGAATCCAGATAAGCCTTCACATTTACTGCATTTCCAACATAGATTTGATGTACCTTTATAAATTCTAGATAGTTTTTCTGCAGTCATATGCATTTCAGGTTATAATATAAATTTCAGCCCTTTTAGCCTTCCTTTGTTCCATCAATATATTATGTCCAAAGTTTTTAGCACTTTTTATCATATGCTTTCACTTGTTATTCTTCCATTTCAAATTTTGACAAAAGTTTATACAGTTTGGCAATTACATGATCATCATTTGTACATAATTCAGATTGTTTTGTGCTGTTCAGTTCAAATGCCCTGTTATCTACCTTAAATCTTTCTCTTAACTATACATAGGAAAACCATTGAAAACTATATCCCTCTGTAATCAATCTTGATTTTTATCTTCTACCGTAACAGCTCTCTCTATATTAACCATCTTCCTTTGCCTGCTGTTTTTTTTCTATAATATGCTTCTTGTGCATTTTTGGGCACAATCTGAGTTTATATTCATATTTTATATTATCTCTATTGTCTTTTGAGTAAAAACCACGTTGATCTTCATCAATAAAGACAATTTTCATCTTCTCAGTAAAATGATCTTGAATAACTAAAAACTGTTAGGATAACCTTGAAGGTCCAAATGCTTATGACAAATGACATGTATAAAAAAATGATTGCAAGTCCAAAGTCTGCATATTCTATTTGAACACCAAAATTATACTTTAGATACTTTAAAACAGAAGGTGCTAATTTTTACCATCTTTCTCTTCTAGGTCTGTCTGTGCTGGAATTGTGCCTCGTAATAGCTATGAAACATTTAAATGATACTTACGAAGGAGAACCGTTTAATTTTCAGATGGTTTATCATGGTGAGGTGATAGTAGGTGTTCTTTTTAAAAGACACATTGTTCATTTAAAATTGTAAAGTAATACATGTTTATTAATGCAGAGTATCAGAAGTTTGTTCAGAGGAAAGCGCATACTGTGTACAATTTTGAGAAGCCTGTTGTCATGAAGGTATGTATAGTTTCTCTTCTAGAAAAAGCTGGTTTCTACTCTATTATCACAGAACATTACATTACTGTTCCAGATTTTTTAACATTTAAACATGATTTTTCTAAAACTTTGGTGCTGAAACACTACTTATCTGAATATATGTATTTGACCATTATGTTTGGTATTGTACTGCCCTCTGGTGCCCAGTTAATGCATTTGTGTAGCTTCCCGCTTTAACTGATTTTGACACCAAATAAGGGTTTAGATGGATTGTGATTCTAATTTTCCTTGTACTTTTCTAGTGAATTATCTTTTAAACTACAAAATATAGTTTAGACTGAATCTACATATGATTTTCTTGTGTTACTTCATTTTTAGGCCTTTGAACACTTGCAGCATCTTGAATTGATAAAACCCGTAGAAGGCCCATCTAATTCTGTACAAAAAGAATATTTGCTAATGAAGCTGCTCCTGGATAACAGCCAAGTTATGGAAGCTTTGCAGGTGTATCCAAATTGTCCGACAGATGTCAAACAATGGGCTACAGCTTCAGTCCACTAATTATATATTTCATAAGTTTCAAAACCAGCGTCACCATTTGAAAAACACACCTTGAAATTATAGACATTTGTCTTCAGCTGTTATAGGACTTGCTTAAATGATTGGGGTGAGGGGTGGGGTACTCTTCATTTTAAATAAAGCAAAATTTTCCAAGAAGTATATTATTTGGACCTAGATTAGAAATTACCATATTAAAATGATCTCAAATATTAAATGAAAATAATCTTCATTTTAGTTTATTTTAATTTTTTCTGGACACTAGTATCTATTGCCCAAAATGTTTAAAAAGATACTTCTTAAGCAAGTAGGATTGTCACTAAAGTATCTGAAAACTTGTGTGTACTGTTAATAGTTCAGTAGGGAAGTAAGCATTTTTTCAGAGAGTTGAACAGATTCAACATCATTTTGTGAACATATCAGTAGTTATTCAAGACACAGGAGTTACTTTCTTAGTCTTAAAATACAATTCCAATAAAAATTCTGATTTAGGTATATTACACCTATTTGAATATTGTAGCAACAACTTAATATTCCCTGACCATGTGGCATTGTAAGCAGGAGGAATGTTTAAATTTCTGTTTCCTATAAAATGTGATATAGGAGCTAGGACCATAAAAAGAAATCTTTTACTAATACAGATACATTCCTACTATACTACCTAGTGTAATATAACGCTGCAATGTAAAGTTGGATAGTAAAGGCAACCTGTTTGTAAATTACCAGATTAAATGGTTATCTACCTAACAGGAGACCGAAAAGTATGATTTGGTTTTATATATTATTCATATTAAAAGAGACATTCTGTTTTCAGATTTAAAAAGGCTGCTGGTGTGAAATGTTTGTAGGATGGGAAATTAATTTAATAAATTGTTGCAAGAAAACAGTACATCCCAAAGACACTGAGACACTACCTGGTTCATCTAATGAAGAAATGTATTTGCATATATGAACCGTGTAGTTCCTATCATTTGCAATGGTTTATACTGCCATTTGAAAACTCTCAAAACTCTCCTCATTTTAAAACAAAATAATACAATTAAAATTGAAATGCAAAATACACAAACAAAAGTTAAACCCTAATTGATAAACACCAATGAATGCAAGCAGATCAAATTTGTTTCTGATACATGCTTTAAAAAATTAGCTGGTATCATCTGATGATCCCTTGGGCAATGAGAGCAGGTGGATTTTTTTTTTTTAATTTTTGCTACTTTCTCAGAGTTCTGTCAAATATAGATACGGCCTGTCAAATACTCGAGATGTTAATTATATCTTAATTGGGCTTTGAAGCAGAAATTGGAATTTCTATTGGATGTTGTGATCATTTGGTTGTACGAAAATATAGCTACCCTGTATTGGAAACATAAGCAATAAAGGAGGTAGCACAGTAATACATCTGGAAAATAAGGAATAGGTACTACTGCTTGCCTTTGGTGTTACATTATAATATGCAGCAGGATTAGAATGCTAACATGAAATACTAAGTGCAGTCTCACTGGAAATCAAGACTGATAAAGCGTCACATAAAGTTTCTGAATCAATTTTAAAAAGTTGCAGTAACGAGCAATTCTACTAGTTGATAAATCAGTACAATAAGATAAAAAGCAAACCTGCAAACAATTTGTTTCCATCAGTAGCACCACGTTCAGCAGCACTCCTGGCTTGTGCATTTGGTTCTTCCCTGCAACAATTCAATTTAGCCTTGTAGTTGCATTACGGATAGTTCTCTACTTATGACCACAATTGAACCGGAACGTCTATTGCTAAATGATGCAATTTTAAGTGAATTTGTTGTAGGAGATGACCAGGCGGAGCCTGAAGGCAAGGTCGAATATGTTGTCTGGAATCCTTATGCAGCCAGAAGAGACCTAAGTCCAGTCCCCTCTGAATTCCTTTGACCCTTATCTAGCGCCAATTTGACTTGACTGTTAGTAGATCAGATTCTTGTGTTTAGGTAAGCATGTAATAAACTTTTAGTGCTGTGAACTCAACTCCTGTTCTTGGTTATTTGTGTCTGCCTGATTTTACAACCCTATTGCCATGGGTGTTAAATGAATCCAATTTCCTGTTGGAAGCTGACTCAGGGTCAGTTGCAAGTGGCAATCATGTGACTCCATAAAAACATGCGAGTTGTCAAGTGCTCAAATTTTGATCACATGGCCACTTATGCTGCAACAGCCATAGGTTTAATGAACAGTAGTCATAAGTAATTTTTTTCAGCACTGTCATAACTTCGAACAGTTGCTAAACAAATGGTTGTAAGTAGAGACTGGTAAAGGAAACACTTATAAGTAACTAGTTAGGCAGTTTTTGTTCATTATGGACCCTTTTATTACATCTGGATTAGACTTGTTACCTTTGAACTTTTACAGTCAGACAATGATTACCCAAACTCTCACAAACTCAGAGACAAATTATGAATGATTCAATAACTGCCTTTAAAATACCAGAAGCTATTAAAAAAATGAGATGAGGCAGAGCTCCAGATCCAGATGGCTTCACTAGCCAATATTATAAATGCTTTGAAGATGAACTTCTTCAGCCACTAAAGGATATAATGAATGATAGATTGTTACAAAGGGGAAAGATACCTCCAACTTGGAAAGAAGCTAATACAGGTAATCCCCAAGTTGCGAGCATTCCCTTAGTGAATGTTTAAAGTTATGCGATAAGCGCCCCCTAGTGCTTACAAGCAAATTATGAATATTGCAGCACCACGGCAGTCGTTCTTCCTTACAAGTGACCGCAGTGGCGCTGCTACATTAACCCTGGTTATTCCCTCCCAACCCCCGCTCCGGGGCACTAGGCCTTCAATACCCTTCAAAGATTGAGATCCTTCACTTTCTTGGCTACTCCAGGTCTTTGGTGGATTTGCAGAGAATGGAGGCCTAAAGTAATACAAGATCATGCGAAATCAGTGGTACGAGATCTCACGCTACCCATCTTGCATGATCTAATGGTACTTTAGGCCTCTGTTCTCTGCAACTAGAGTATGGAATCGAAGTCGGGGGACGCTTCCATGTGCCTCTGGAAGCTGAATCCGGGTGCCAGAGGCTTTTTCCAGGCTGTTGCTGCCCGGAACTGAGGCTAGGGGACGCTTCCACAGCCCTCCGGAGGCTTGATCCGGGGGTCTTTTCCAGGCCATTGTCACCTGGATATCAGTCTGGAGGATGCTTTCGTGGCCCTCCAGATGTCTGACCCAGGTGCTGGAGGCCTTTTCCAAGCTGCTGCCATCTGGATCTAAGGCCAGGGTATGTTTCCACGGCCCTCCGGATGCCTGATCTGGGCATCGAAGACCTTTTCCGGGCTGCTGCTGCCCGGAAATGGGCCTCTGGCGGGCCATGGAAGCGTTCCCCGGCCTCAGATCTGGGTGGCAGCGGCCTAGAAAAGGCCTCTGACACCCAGATCCAGCCTCTCCCCAGCCTCAGATCCGGGCAGCAGGAGGAACTGCAGCAGAGAGGAGATGGATCTTTTCAAGGTGAGTCTGGCGCGGCATGAAGGGAGGGGGAAGCATGAAGTATCTTAGTGGGTCGGGGAGGCCTTGAGGGCCTGTTCCACCACTAGGCCCTCCATGGCTTTTCCCCACCCTGAGATACCGCTTGTTCACTTAACAAGCCGGGTGCGTTTTAATGAGCAAGGAGTGATCTCGTTCGAGGTACGAGATTCACTCCTACGAGTTTTCGAGTTATGAATGGAATGGGCAGGCTCCATTACATTTGTAACTCGAGGACTGCCTGTATTGCACTATTACCAAAGGAAGGCCAAAGATAAAGAATAATAGACCAAGTTCATTACTAAACAATAACTATAAACTTTTTGCTGCAATTTTGGCAGAAAGATTAAAGAAGATTTTACAATCTGGCTTCCTGCCAAAAAGACAGTTAAGGGATAATGTGAGGACTGTTTTGAATATTATTGAATACTTACAATACAATGAGAAACAGGCAGCTTTCATGTTCTTAGAAGCCCTTTGACAATTTAAACCGGGCTTTTATGTTTAGAGTTTGGGAAGATAGGGATTTTGGGGAGAATTTTATTCAAGGGATTAAAGGAGTTTATATGTCATAGCAAGCAAAGATTATTATTAAGGGAGATTTAACCAATTCATGCAAAATTCAAAAAGGTACGACAAGGAGGCTCCCTATCTCCCTTGTTGTTTATATTGGTATTGGAAGTCCTGAACAGAGATATTGGGCAAGATGGAGAAAATAGGTATAAACATCAAAAAGAAAGTTCACAAATTGAGGGCATTTGCCGATGACCTGGTTATATTTTTGCAAGACCCCAAAAATAATATGGAATATTTGATGAGAAAATTAAATGAATTTGGAGTCTTAGCGGGGTTTAAAATAAACAAACAGAAAATAACAATGCTTATTAAGAATATGACCTCTAAGGACTGTGATATATTGATTTAAAAAATCTGGTTTTAAGCTTGTGAAAAAGGAATTGGAAATCCTACTGGGTGGTGGTCATGAACACATTATCGCTAAAGTTTACATATTGTTATTGAATTTGGAGTATGAACATGTAAAGCACATGATTCAGTGGGCAAGGAATTTTGGATATAATGTCATGCTTGAACAATGGGATAATATATGGACGAAAGCTTTAAAATTCACATTAAATCATAACTTAAAAGAAATTTTTTATAAGATGATGTATTGTTGATATTTAACACCAGATAAGTTATCAAGAATGTATAAAGGTATTTGAAATGAATGTTGGAAATGTAAAAGTAAAGAAGAGACCTTTTATTACTTAGGGTGGACATGCTACAAAGCAAAGAAATACTGGAGTAGGAGCTTCTCAAAGTGAATATAAAGATAAAACCAGAAACTTTTCTTTTGGGTTTAATAGAAAAAAAAGAACTTTGATGCTATATATTTGACGGCAGCAAGAATACTTTATGCACAAAAATGGAAGGACACTATGATTACCACAATGGATGAATGGCTGCAGAAGTTGATTTAATTAGCAGGGATGGCTAAACACTGCTTTGATTAAAGACAAAAATACAATTACCGGTACTTGTGTTTCTACTTGGAAGCCACTTCTGGACTTTGTGCTTGAGGTGGAAAAAAACCCGAAACTTTGATTTTGGGTTTTACTGATTAGATAGGTTTGTTGTTATAGAAATGGCTAGTTGATACTATTTTGTAAAAGTAAAAAGCTGAGGTTTGATGTTGTTATTCTACTGCACCAAAGGGA